ATATAATTTGAAGGATGTATTCAAGAGATGACCATTGGGTGAATTTGACATCTCTTGGCTTCACAAACTAGAGTCATTTCCTGTGACTTTTTTCTTTATTTTTATTTCATAAAAAAGGGGCATGGGACAAGTAAACAAATCAATATCTGGAATTTACTTTAAAAGCAACTATGAGAGCATACCATGGGATCAGCAGGGAGCTGGTCCAGTTTCTAAGCATACAAGCAAACTATTTTTGTATTACTGGCCACAGTCTGACTCAGTCCTTAGAACCAGCTTCTCAAATTGTCTGGTCCTTATATCAAGAGGTGCCTTTTTTTGCCCCAGCAGCCCCACAGAAATAGAGGGGCAAGGACAAAAGTGGGGGGGATCCTCTGGTTTCCCAGGGAGGTGTGTGAATCTGTCAAAGAATGAGGCAGACTCCTCCTCCCAACTCATCAGGATAGCTGATGTGTGCAATAATAACCCTGAAGTAAGCTTATTTTATAGCCATTTAATTCTTGTACAACCATGTATGTTGCAATATAATTGTTAATTGTTACTACAATTTGTATTAACAAGATTATTTGGTTACCAGAATATCCCTTTCCCTAACCTTTGGAAAATGGTACCCAAGGCTGTCCTCTGTCAGATTGATGAGGTGGCAAGTCCCTGAGGGAGCAGACACAATAATTTCTGCACAAGACTTTTTAAGAGCCTGTAGCTCACTCAGCACAGCAAGAAAATCAACATAAGAATCTACAGCCTCAATTAGAAAGTGGAAAGGCAAGACATTCAAGATTCCCAGTACCCACCGAGAAGAAGTAGAAATGTGAACAATAATGTTGGAAGCCAAATAAATGGGATGCTGTAGATGACCATGATGTATACCTGGAGATGATGAGAGTTCCTGCCCACAGATCTCCCCCAAATTCTTTCTTTTCCCTGCTAGATACCCCATCTGCTTCTCTCTGTTGTTGACAAGAAGCTGGTTGGCAAGAGGGGACAACACTTAACCTAAAGGATTGAATCTAATATATGCCCCTTGAAAGAGCCACAAGCTCTTAGCACAAATTTTATTTCTTTTCATTTTTTAAATTTTAAAAATGACACATACATCATAGAGAAATTTGAAAGTAGAAAAAAACCCCAGAAGCATAATCTCTACACTCAAATAGACCTACTGTTAACTGACTTCATTTCTGTGTATATTTCGCATATAGTTCAGATTATACCGGACAAACATTTTCCAATAACAGTCATCGTTTTAGTGACTATATATTTCACCTGTAGTTAGATCATAATTTACCTAAACATTCCCTATTGCTAGTAATTTATATTGTTTCCCATGTTCGTGAATCACAATAATATTGTAATGAGTATCTTTGTGCATAAACCTTTCTCTGTTTTTGGCCTTGTCCCAGGAATAGAATTACTGAGTCAAGGGGTTTGCACACTTTAAAATGCCTGGCACCCATTGTCAAATTTTAGCAAACTTTTGAAGAAAGAGCAGTGTGTGCGTCCCTATTTCCTTCTTCAATGTCGTTTCCACTAACCCCACCTGTGCTCCCCTCACTACCCAGAAAGCCGATGACTTCATTTTGACCCAGGCTTGTCTATCAAGGAAGAAAGCAGTCTAGTGTCTATACTTTTTCTCACTATGATGTTAATGACTCAATATGCTGCCATCCTTTGGATGATAAATAACTTTTAAGAAAAGACGATGGATGATAAGGAGAAGGCAATGTAATACAAAAGAGTGAATATCTAACAAAAGAATGCTGGGCACTGTGGGAACCGGTGATGTTTTTCCTGAAGCTCCTCACATTATAGTACATTCACCTGTGTACGCCACTCTCTAGTAGACTTCCCAATATCTGATCAGGCATTTCTATTTGCCTAGCAAAATCATCCTGAAAGAACACCAACATAATCCCTCATTTTTATTGTAAAATATGCAATGGCAGGTGATAATTAGAAGAAAATTGGGATAGAACTGGCTCTGGATGTGGCATTTACTATCATTATTTCTTCCAAATAAGCAGAGGCTTGCTGGCAGAGACCTGGCCAACATCTTAAGCAATAATGTCTTGACCTCTGCCTGTCACCTTGGTGTTTTCAGACACCAGTGTGGCCAATAAATAGCAAAGTGGAGATAGAGAACACGTAGTAATTTTGCACAGCTAGAGAAAGAGGTTCAGGTTAATTAAATATTGTGATTGACAGAGAGTTATTATAAGTGGATTACAATAATCCACCACCATCAAAACTATAATTCCATTCCTCTAGTGGTCAGAAGGTGGTTCAGGGCCTCGGAGTCGCGATGATGACTCCAGGATGGAGATTTGGTGAGTGCTTGTAAAGAGAGGGCTGGGACACTAGCTTTCATTATTTTAAGAGAAATGAAATGTACAGAAAAGTGAGGGCACGTGACAAAAGACTACCTTTGGAGACAGAGTCACTCACTAATTCCACAGATATAATTGAGCACTTACCATAGGCAAGCACTGGGGAGACAGATCCAGCCCCAGAGGTCCCCCTATTTCCAAGATTCAAGGGAGGCAGATAAGCATTTTTCAGCCAATTATCCCAGATCCACTCTCACACTTTCGCATGCGATGGATGAGAAAAAAATGCACTTTTACAAGAAAGGCTATGATACAGTGTAGTGATGCTCTGGGGCCTGCCTGCCTGAGTTTGTATCCTGGTTCTGACATGTACCAGCTGTGTGACAGTGGGCAGGTTAATTGACCTCTCTGTGTTTTAGTTTCCTCATTTGTAAATTAAAGGTGATAGTAGATACACCCTCATCTTAGATTAGAATTAATATGTGTAGAGGTCTTAGATTGGGAACCTGCGTGCACTTATATTGATGACTTGTTATTAAAACTGAGGCCCTCTACCCACACATCTATGGACAGCTAATCTTTGACAAAGGAACCAAGAACATACAATGGGGAAAAGAAAGTCTCTTCAACAAATGGTGTTGGGAAAACTGGATAGCCATATGCAAAAAAATGAAAGTAGACCCTTACCTTACACCATACACAAAAATTAACTCCAAATGGATTAAAGACTTGAATGTAAGACCTGAAACTATGAAACTTCTAGAAGAAAACATAAGCAGTATGCTCTTCGACATCGATCTTAACAACATATTTTCAAGCACCATGTCTGACCGGGCAAGAGAAACAATAGAAAAAATAAACAAATGGGACTACATCAAACTAAAAAGCTTCTGCACAGCAAAGGAAATCATCAACAAAACGAAAAGACAGCCTAAAAATTGGGAGAAGATATTTGCAAATCATACATCTGATAAGGGCTTAATCTCCAAAATATATAAAGAACGCATGCACCTCAACAACAAAAAAACTACCAACCCAATTAAAAAATGGGCAAAAGACCTGAACAGACATTTCTCCAAAGAAGATATACAGATGGCCAACAGACACATGAAAAGATGTTCAAAATCATTAACTATCAGGGAAATGCAAATCAAAACTACAATGAGATATCACCTCACGCCCGTCAGAATGCCTATAATTAACAAGACAGGAAACAACATGTGTTGGAGAGGATGTGGAGAGAAGGGAACTCTCATACACTGCTGGTGGGAGTGCAAACTGGTGCAGCCACTATGGAAAACAGTATGGAGATTCCTCAAAAAATCAAGGATAGAACTATCATATGATCCAGCTATTCCACTGCTGGGTATTTATCCAAAGAACTTGAAAACACCGATGCGTAAAGATACATGCACCCCCGTGTTCATTGCAGCGTTATTCACAACAGTCAAGACTTGGAAGCAACCTAAGTGCCCATCAAGGGACGAATGGATAAAGAAGATGTGGTATATATACACAATGGAATACTACTCAGCCATAAGAAACGATGAAATCCAGCCATTTGTGACAACATGGATGGACATTGAGGGTATTATGCAAAACGAAATAAGTCAGAGGGAGAAGGTCAAATACCGTATGATTTCCTTCATTAAGTAGTAGATAATAACAACAATAAACAAACACACAGAGACAGAGATTGGATCGGTGGTTACCAGAGGGGAAGGGGGGAGGGAGGAGGGTGAAAGGGATAATTCGGCACATGTGTGTGGTGATGGGTTGTAATTAGTATTTGGGTGGTGAACATGATGTAATCTATGCAGAAATAGAAGTATAATGATGTACACCTGAAATTTATACAATGTTATAAACCAATGTTATTGCAATAAACAAAAAATGAAAAACAACAACAACAACAAAAACCAAACTGAGGCCCTCAGTAGTTTCAGGGGATTTGTCTTCTGTGATTCAAGCACTTTTGAGCAGTGGTATTCAGTTCTCCTGATTCCTAGTGAGTTGTTGAGCATTAAAAACATAACTCAAAAGGTCTGAATAAACTTCCCTTATACACACCCACATTCATACTCACCCTCCTACACACACATTCACACACCAAAAATATTTCCACCACTTGAAGGAAATTATTCTTTTAGCAGTTAACAAATTAGGAAAAAAAGCTTAGAATAGCTTGAATGAGGTAAATACACTGAGAAATTAATTTATGCTAATGTGTAAATGACTACCACTTGAGTCTTTTCTAAGAGTGGGAATCTGCTAGGAGGATCTTGGAGCAGGGTGCCACTAATTGGAGAAAAAATGTAGCAAAAGTGGTTGAGGATGCTGAAAACCAAGCATCCCCACTTTCTAACTGTATAACAAATGAGCTTCTAATACAGAACCACAGAGTGTGGCCTGCTGTTTTCAGGATCTCTAGGCCATATTTCCTTGGGACACACCTATACCTGCTTGGCAGCGAAACCCAGGGGGCTGTCCTATGTGTGCCCCAACAAAGAGAACCTATTGTCAATGTGTTACCTCTCAGCCTCTTACTCCAATCCTTCAGGGACCCTCGACAGAGGAGTGAATTTGGCCAAGCTTAGCTTCTGGCCCCACATGCTTTCACCTCCTGCTGTCTCCCGGAACCCTGCCCCACTTCGGTGTTTATTCTTCATGCTCTGCCACTGGGCTCCCAGCTCCTGTTGTTCTCTCTCCTTCTCTCTGGTAAATCCTGCTATCAGGGATAGATTTGGTGTCAGTCACTTACATGTGGGACAGTGCAAATTAACTTATTTTAATATGGTTGTTTAGCTGAAGAATGAAACATTTTGTTTCCTCTTGAAGGTTTTTTAGAGATTTCTTTGGAAGTGGGGAAACCTTGGGGTGGGGTTGGGTGATGGGGAGCGCTTCTCAGCCTCCTAAAATCAAACCCTGCAGACAGCTGCCTCCTCGGCTCACTCATAACTGTAGTCCAGTAATCAAGGGGTTTGGAAATCTGATTTGTTGGGTTCCTTTCTCTCTGGATATTGACTTTTTAATTTACATTCATCACCATTCATACAGCTTCATTAGGACAGCCCTTTCTCCATGAGAACAGTGTGAACTGGGGAAACGAGCCCTTAATTGGAGACAGAAGATTGGAATCAAAAATGCTGTCTCAACTTTCTAGCTTGGCAAGATGTTTCAGCTCTCTCTGAGCCTGTTTTCTACTTTGTAAATGAGCGGTAATCATTTAGCTCCCAATGTTATTGTGAGGATTAAATGAAGTAACCTATGGAGAATCACTTAGTTCAAGCATTGCTCACTTTTGCAGCCCTCTGAGTTTAAAAATATTTTCCTAGCTGACATGTATCACAATTCCTTCCTAGCCTCTAAAATATCTCCTGGAATAAATACTATGTCCCTAGCTCAGCAATGTAATGTTTTAGTTTTCATTCATTTTAACTCTTTTAAAAATGAGAGGCACAAAAACCTCCCACGGGAAGATAATAAAATGTGTCTTCTCTCATCAGTGTAGCAAGACAGAATTCGTGCTGACAATCTTTGCTCTAAGGCAAAATATCTTTATTACGGTTGCTAAAAAAGGAAAGCTTTCTGTAAGAACTACAGAGAAGAACTTCTCTGTTCTTTGGCCTGAAGAGCCATGCTGAGAAATAAACCTGCTGGCAGAAAACTTATTCTTGGCAGCATTTGGCGGGATGAGGAGATAGAATCACTCCCCCATGGCCTGTCTTCACGGAGGCTTTCTCAGAAGGCAGGATGTCCCCTAAGCTTAGTGAGCATGGGGCAGAGAGGGGGGTGGCATTAAAGAGTGGGACTGCCATTGGCTCGCCTACTGACATGTTATTTTTCTTGTACTCAGCCCAGCATCAGCGGGGTGGACCTTGATAAGTTCCGGGAGATTCTTCTGCGTCACTGCGATGTGAACAAGGATGGAAAAATTCAGAAGTCTGAGCTGGCTTTGTGTCTTGGGCTGAAAATCAACCCATAATCCCCAGACTGCTTTCCCTTTTTGCTTTTAGGGTGTTTCTGTGTTCCTGCTGGTAAAATTGTATCTGTGCTTTGCTGTTGGGGACACAGTGGGCAAACTTTCTAACAAATGGTATGGGCAAGGGGAGGGACCCTAGGGTCTCCATTCTAATGGCATGGTGTCTTCCCACCTCACTGAAAGCCCCCCATACAGTGTCTGTGTTATTTTCCCCTTGACCCTGGGCTCTCCTGTCCCCCCAAAGACTCATGCTGGATCTGCTCTGCTTGTCGTCCCCCAGTCACCAGGGAGGCTGGGGCAGCTGAGTCCCACCCATCTGTGCTATTCTCGTGGGCTTTCTGCTGAGCGGCATCTGTCACAGTCCTGTGACTTCTACAAATAGATTTTGACCTGGAAATAAACCTGCACCTGGAAACAAAATGCGCTGGTAGTTGTTTTTGTGTTAAGATCTTTGAAATGTTCTACCTGATGGTTTGACCGACAAACTACTCTAACTTGGGATGGGGGGAGGGGAGGAGAAGGAGAAGGGCGAGATCCTAACGGAATCCACAACACCAGTCCTTCGGTAGTTCTCAAATGCCCTGGTGAGTTCGCATGAAAGTAGGCGTTGCCAATAATCACTTTTCATTCATTGCACAGAGAAGACCAGAACACTTGTCCTGGGCTGAGTTTTGATCTTAAGTGCTCTGTGAGCTCACATGGCCAAGCAGGTAGGAATGCAGAAGAAACTTGGAGAAAATGTTTCCCAGGTAACCCAACATCTGCTCCCCACTCCATTCCTTCCCCTTCCAACAGTTTCTTCTAGTGAATCTGGGACCACTGAGGTCTTCTCCTATGCCCCTGAATATCATGGGCCCCTTGGCAGGCGGCAGGCTGCTGGCTCCCCTGCGGACCCTCTTGCCTTCACTCCTGGAACTCTGACACGAACCCCATGAGAGGGGGGGCTGCTTTCTCCTGGGCTGGGAGCAGAGAGATTGATGTGGGGCAGGCCCCACTTTACTGTCCTGACACTTTATTCTCCATAACATCCCTGACTTATACCAGACTGTGCAGGAATTTCAGCTTAATGAAGTGTTATAGGTAATCGAGAAAAACTACAGTGCAGCACGGTATATTTAGAGCTGTTCATAATCCAAGGAGTTCCACCATTCACAGAGGTTCCCCTCACTGGCACACCCTGGTCCTGATCTGATTTCCTTCTCCTCAGGTGTTCTTTACCTCAAACACACAGATAACTAATATCAATAACTACCATTTATTAAGTGCTTTCTATGTGCCAAGTACTTCTAGGTGCTTTCCATACCTATGTAATTTAATCCTCATCAAAATCTTATGAGGTAGGTACTCTCATGGTGCCCATCTTACAGATGGAGAAACTGAGGCAGATAGAAATTAAGCAACACGTCTGTGCTTGTACATCTCAGAATTGGGGCATCAGGGAGATAATTATGGCCAATCTTTATGCACCTTTCAGGAAACCTTGGCCCCTTCCCACAGGTTTGGTTTCAATGTGGGATCCACAGCCATATCCAGCAGGACATTTCTCCAGGTCTGGGTCATTCAGGCTGGGGTAACACTTGAGGAGAGCTCAAAGAGAGCCCAGGACGCAGCATGCGGGAAGACAGGCATGCAAACTTCGTCTCCTCATTGTCCAAATATTGAGCTAACCGTGTACACACACACCTTTCAAAGGACATTCATTCTTTCTCAGAGTTGAGACCGTCTAAACCCACAAGAAGGAAAAAAAATTCTCTATTTCTAGGACATCACATTGTTCTGCAGAGTGTTAATTCCTCTTCTTAATCTCCTGTTTTCGTTTTTTAATGATAACAGAAGTCCTTTATTTTAATGTAGTTGGATTTATTTTATATTTATTTATTGTGATGCTTTTTATGTTTGATTTGAGAAATCTTGCTCTATATGTCACAAATGCATTCTCTTCTAGTACTATTTTTTAAAACTTTTTAAAAATTGTAGTAAAATATACATATAAAATTTGCCATTTTAACCATTTCTAAGTGTACCATTCAGTGGTATTAATTACATTCACAATCTTGTGCAACCATCAACACTATCTATGTCCAAAACTTTTTCATCATCTCATATAGAAACTCTGGACTCATTAAGCCATAACTCTCCATTTCCCCTCCCCCTAATCCCTGGTAACCTCTAATCTACTTTCTGTCTCTATGAATTTGCCTAGTCCTATAAGTTGAATCATATAATATTTGTCCTTTTGTGTCTGGCTTATTTGACTTAGCATAACGTTTTCATGATTCATCCATGTTGTAGCATGTACCAGAACTTCATCTCTTTTTATGGATGAATAGTATTCCTTTATATGGATATTCCACATTTAGTTTATCCATTCATCTGTTGCTGGACACTTGTTTTGTTTCCACCTTTTGGTTATTGTGATTAATGGTGCAATAAACATTGCCACACAAGTATCTGAGTCCTTGTTTTCAATTCTTTTGTGTATATACCTAGGAGTGGAACTGCTGGGTCATGTGGTAATTCTATGTTTATCTTTTTTTTGCTGAGGAAGATTTGCCCTGAGCTAACAACTGTTGCCAATCTTCCTCTACTTTGTATGTGGGTTGCTGCCACAGCATGGCTAATGAGTAGTGTAGGTCCACATCCTGGATCCAAATTTGTGAACCTGGGCCCCACAAGTTCAAGATCATGCCCAACTTAACCACTAGTCAGGGCCGGCCCCTACGTTTATCTTTTTGAGGAACTGCCAAACTGGCTTCCACACAGCTGCGCCATTTTACATTTCCACTAGCAATGTACAAGGGTTCTAATTTTAATCTTTTGTTTCTAAATAGAGCCCTTTCTGGAACTTCCTAAAAGCTGATCTATATCCACTTAATGCATGACTCTTCCTGTAGCTATATGAAGAGGACTTTTGCGGTTATTGCTCCAGCAATGGCTATAGAAATTCTTAGCCAAGAGTTCTCATTCTCCTCAGTGTCTATCTGGAGAAAGATCACCTAATCTCTCTATACATCAATTTCCTCATCTGTAAAACAAGAATGTTGACTTCCAGTGAAAACGATGCTGTGTTTTCTGGCTTTGAGCACATCTCTCCCCAGGCCACCACTCCCAATGCATAGCAGTGTCACCATGAGTAATAAAAAGAATTCTAAAAATGCTCGCATATACGATAATCCTCTTTCTGTAAGATAATGCAGAACCTGAGGTCTTGCAGGGTTCCCAAGCCTGAGGCAAGAGGGTCAGCAGGAGGCATTAAGAGGGGTTGGGAGGCAAGAGTCCGTCTCACTAGTTGATACCAGGGGCTGGGGATGGACTTCCCAGCCCATTAAAAGAGGCTGAAAGAGCCCCAAGGTGCTGCGGGGCCTAAGGCTTATGAGTGGCTCATATCTAGGGAGCTTGGAGGAAGTAAACCCAACTTTATAGCCTGGACCTGTCCCAAGTCACCCATTGCTCCATCATGCAAGCTCTAATATTCCCAATATTTCCAGAGAAAAGGAGTCACAGGCCACCAGTGCAAGATGTTGATCCTGAGCTACTGTCCTGAGAGGCCAGTCTGATGCAACCGGAGAAGGGGAAGTTAGAATTTAGAGAGAGAGAGAGAGAGAGACTCTTATTCACATAAGCCTGAAAACTTTAGTTCCAAAACTCATGAGGAAAACTAACGCCAAAAGAGATTGTTATAAAATTATTATGGACTGAATGTTTGTGTCCCCCCAAATTCATATAGGAAAACCCTACTCCCCGCAATGTGATGGTATTTGGAGGTGGAATCTTTGGGAGGTAATTAGGCTCAGATGAGATATTTAGGGTTAAAATAGGATTAGTGACCTTATAAAAGTCATGAGAGAACTTGCTTCCTCTCTTTCTCTCTCTGCCGTGTGATGGTACAATAAGAAGTTGGCAGTCTGCAAACCAGAAGAGGGCCTTCACCAGAACCTGACCATGCTGGCACCCCAATCTCAGACTTCCAGTCTCCAGAACTGTGAGAAATAAATTTCTGTTGTTTATAAGCCAGTCCACAGGATTTTTGTTATAGCAGGCTGAATGGACTAAGACAAAAATCAATACTCAGGGAATAAAATGATGAAATAAAAATAATGGGGCTAAGTGAAAATAGCTCTAAAATAAGTATGTTTGTCTTTGCTTAAATATGTGTAGCTTATTTCTGGAAGGAAATTTGTAATTCATTTGCCTCCAGGAAGAGGAAATGGGTGGCTATGGATGGAATGAGAAGGAGACTTCACTGAACACACTTTGTACCTTTTTTTCCCCAAAGCCCCAGTAGATAGTTGTATGTCATAGTTGCACATCCTTCTAGTTGCTGTATGTGGGACGCCGCCTCAGCATGACTGGACAAATGGTGCGTTGGTGCACGCCCGGATCCGAACCGGGGCCGCCAGTAGCGGAGTGTGCGCACTCAACTGCCAAGCCACGAGGCCGGCCCTACACTTTGTACTTTTCGAGTTTTTTGAACCATATAAATGTATTATCTATTTAAATAAATTTATAAATTTAAAATTTAATAATTAGAATACTATAATTACATTATATATATAACATATATAATGCTAAAATAAGTATGCTTACGATCCTTACAATGATAAAAGAATAATAACATCCTTTTAAAAATAATAATTAGGGGCCGGCCTGCTGGTGCAGTGAGTGGTGCAGAGAGCTTGGCACACTCCGCTTTGGCTGCCTGGGTTCACAGGTTCAGATCCCCGGCATGGACATACACCACTCATCAAGGCATGCTGTGGCAGCAACCCACATACAAAATAGAGGAAGACTGGCACAGATGTTAGCTCAAGACCAATCTTCCTCAAACAAAAAGAGGAAGATTGGCAACAGATGTTAGCTCAGGGCTGATCTTCCTCATCAAAAAGGAAAAAGAATAATCAATTATATAAAAACAAGCAGAAAGAAAACAGAGACTGGTGGATGTAAACAAGAACCTATTGGAAATCCTTAAAATAAAAGGTACAATCATTTTTTTATTAATGAGATATAATTGACATATAATGTTATATTAGTTTCAGGTGTACAACATAATGATTCGATATATTGTGAAATGATCACCACAATAAGTCTAGTTAAAATCCATCACCACACATAGTTACAATTTTTTTTCTTGTGATGGGAACTTTTAAGATCTACTCTCTTAGCAACTTTCAAATATACAATACAATATTATTAACTATAGTCACCATGCTGTACATTACATCCCCAGGACTTATTTATTTTATCACTGGAAATTTGTACCTTTTGACCACCTTTACCCAATGTATAATCATTAAAACAATACCAATGCAAGAAATAACTTTTGACTGGCCACAGTTGGAAGTAATTAGCAAATGGAAATAGGGCAGATAATTTCACAGAAAGCCACACAACACAGAGACACACTGAGATAACATATA